TGTTGTGAAATTTGAGTCACTGTTCAAGTCACATAGATCAGATTCATCATTTGTTTTCTTTCCTCTTACAGAATTAGTTGTTAGCTTTAAGTTCATCTTAGCTTCTTGTAATTAAGCTCACTAGAGTTTGTGGACATCTCAGAAGAGTTTTTTAACTTATAAGAATCCAGTGCCGATGGAGCTTCAAATTTTTGGTTCTTGTCTTCTGTCATAACATATGAAAGTTCTTCACCGTCTCTTTGTTTTGTTCTTCTGAGGATGAGATGTGCAGGTTTAACATTAGTAGACAGCTGCTCTTCCTCAGATGGTTCGAAGGAAGAATCATTACATCTCTCTCGGAAGCCTTTTCTTTTCATCCATCTCTTTATTTCATTTCAACACTTTGATAATTCTTCATCTGAATTTTGTCTGCTTTTTTGGGTTTTTGTTACAAGCAATGCACCATTCAACATGTAGGAAACAGATGGATTGTTAACTTTCAGATTCAACCTTTCTATGATTTTGTTCTCCCAAAGGCAATAGATTGCAGAATATAAAGGAATTTGAATTCATTGGGGATAAAATAGAGTGTGGGAAGACAGGCGAAGAAAATGCACAACTAGATAAAATAGTGTGGCATGTACAGTATAATCCTTTTTTAAGGTAACATTGTAACAAAACTATAAAAGGATTCAATTTTTACTTCTAATTTAACAATTAACTAGTTGAGTTAATTTTTACTCTAAACCTTTCAATTCATCGTATTGAACTTTAAATTTATATTAATGTTTGTAATTTTAATCTTAAATTTGAATAAGTAGTGCAACTATTACGTTTTATAATGTTTTTTTTAGTACAACATATGGAGATAGGGATCAAACTCACAACATTTTATATAGAAATATATGCTCACTCTGATACGTTTTATTAGACTTTCGTATGAAGAATCATTAAACAAAAACATTATTATTTAAATTCAATGAATTATTAGAGGAGGCCCAATACAAAATGGATAGAATTTCAAATAAATGCAACACTTGAAGTCTTGAAGTTCAAAGCTCAATTTTGTAGATTGTTTTGTTAATACTTAGTTTTCATTAAAACTAATAAACTTCAGGATGGGAGATTCCGTAGAAATTGAACAGTAGAACGAAAGAAAAAATTGAAATATTTTTAATTTATCCAAAGTCTAAAAGTTCAATTGAGTGAATTAAAATTAAAATTTTCCCTAAATTTAATCATATATAGGTAGATATACAGAATAATAATAATAATAAATAAAATAGTGAAATAGAGTAATAAATATGATTTTTTTTTATTTACTATAATACAAATCACCAAGATAGGGATTACTCCGTTGAGCTGTGCAATATAAAAGAAACCATAGTAATAGATAAATCAATTAAAAATTCACTAGTAAATATATGGTCTAGAATCCTCCATGAGCAGCCAAAGCCAAAGGTCAGAATCAGAATGGATATCCCATTATCCATTGTGGCTGAATTAACCCGCAATCCAAACCAACAATATTCTAGAAATTAGAAATGGAAACCATTCTGCTTAAGGAGAAAATCACAAACCAGATAGCAAGTGTTCAATCTCAATATGGCAACCATTCTGCTTCTTAATGCAGCTTTTATAACTAGCTGTTGGGTAAAATTACAATCACGAAAAGAATTGAATAAATTATCAGTTAGAACCAGTGTTTGAGACTTCAGAGACATATATATTTCTTTTCTTTTTTTAATATATACAGTCACTAAAAAATCTGAGGCAGCTTTTCAATCATATGGGCTCAACTGAAGAGGGGAACGCGTGGAAGAATGGAAATATGAGAAGAAAAATGTAAGTGCTGTTACCATTTTTATGTTTAGTCTCAGAATTGGGCTTCAGTTCAGATATTCTGTCAAATTCACGAGCTGTAAAGCGATTGAAGATGACCATATTGGTCGAGTTATCTCAGAGGATCAGTTTTCACACTCATCAAACCATTTGGAGTACTTTTATACACCCACTCGAATTGGCTGCCACAACCATGTCGGATTTTCCTCTCCAGCATACGCTTGAAACAAACTGTCCATTGTCGTCCTCGGTCTCTTTTCCAGAAATCGGGTCAATAGAACCAAACTTAGAGGAAGTCATTGGCATTGGCAGAGACCTATGGTAAGCATATACCTGGAGAAGAGTTCAAAATATGCCATACATGAGAGAGACGTAATCTTAGTGCAGGAGTTTCTTCCATTTGTTATGAAGAACGATTTTGTATCCGAAGAAGATAAAAAACATACCTCATTTGTTTCTGAACCACAAGCAATGTAGCCATTGGAAACGGATAAACCCACAAAGTTCTGGCAGTAGAGGAGACCAGAGAATTCAGTCAGTGGAAGGACAAAAATAATGAAGAAGCCAATTCAATATACTTATATATTCTTAATTTGAAGGGGGTTCGGAGAAATAAAAGGAGACCAACCTTTTCATTAGTGTGACCACTGAGAGTTAAACTGCAAGCATTGGTAGACAAGCCGGTAGGATTGGTTCTATTGAGATCCCATAGCTTCAACGTGTTGTCGGTGGATGCAGAAACAAGGGTCTCCGAGTCCAAGAATTTCACATAGCTTACAGCTTTCTCATGGCCACCCAATACACACCAGGGGGCTTTAGTATTCCGAAGATCGAAGCAGTAGGTTCTGTAATCAGCAGACCCAAAAGCCAGCAAATGAGTTGAATGAGCAGAGAACTGAACGCAGCAGACATTTGCAATGTTCCTGATAGTGCTCAAACAGTTCTTCTGCAGTAAATTAATCACAATGATCGATTAGTTCAAGAAGAAATCAAGAGGACCAAGAAAGTTTTATAAGTAACAAAGTAAACGATGAAATAAAGATATTATTCGGCATTTACATTTAACATGTGATCACGCCAAATTCTTAACATTTTACATTTGAGGAACCGAATCAAGAATGGTTCTTCAAGCTTTTCAGCTCTTTTTTTATTGGAAATAGTGAAGTTCCAAGTCCACGTGTTCTAGTAAATAAAAATATAAAAAACGGTGATTCTTTTCAAACAAAATATCTATCCAAAAGAGAGAAAATTACTCGGGAATAACTATTAGTTGCACTTTTAATGGTCATATTAAAAAAAATAATGGAGCTTCTCTTCCTTTACTAATATTAAATAAAGAAAAATGGGAAAGAAGAGGAGAGAGAAATAATCCAGGAGGTTTAAGAAAGGAGAAGGAGAAGGGGAGAGAGAGAGAAAGAGAGAGAGAGCCATGCCTCATTAATACTCCAAAGTTTTACAGCACAATCATCACTTCCACTGGCCAATTTCGTAGGATGCACTTGGGAAAAGTCAACAGACCATGCCCTCTTCTCATGTTCATTGAATTGAGTAACCTCTTGACCTACAGTTGCATCCCATAACTGGAAAGCGATTCAAGAAAATGGAATTGAGAGTGATACCCAAAAAAGAATAATAATAATAGTAGGAGTTGAAGAATGTAGCAGAAGTATACATCTGATAGCACGTATTGAACAGTATAAGTGGTTTCAGATGTTAAAATTACGAAACTACTAGCTCAGAATCATGAAAGTTAAATCACTAAAGAGTAACAAGGGACCCATACAAATCTAGGCAGACTATGAGGTAACAATACTCTAGCCTTACAAATTCAACACAATCTCAATAACTTAGGCATAACTTAAAAAAAAAAGACATGGTGCTAGGCTATGTCTGTAATTTCCATGGCATAACAGGAAACATACCTTAACAGCACCATCATAATCAGTTGAAGCCAGATAGTTCCTGATGTAGCTATTCCAGCAAATACAGCTAAGCTTTGATCTGTTAAACATTTCAACTGCAGGATAATGAATATCCACTGACTCATTAAAGAGTGAATTAAACTCAAATATCCTTATTTTCTTTGACACTCCAGCAGCAGCAAAATAGTCCTCGTCCCGATCAAAACTCAAGGAACAGATTACATTCGAGGAACTGTTGAAATCGCCATTTCTTAGTACCCCACGTACTTCAAACTTACTATAACGAGAATACTTGCAAAACCCATCAAAAAAGACACCTAAACGATCACCATGACTCCTCTCATCATCTTTTTGTGTTAGATAGCAGTTCTCACGAGTTCTCAATAAATCTTTATCTGTCCGTATTGCTCTATCATTCTCAGAAGGATTGACTTTTGATCGCATGGAAAAATAAGCACTTTCAAGTTGACTTATATTCTTTGCTATTCTCTCTTCATTAATATGTGATATCGTCACCTGAGGGCGCACATCTGAACTTATATATCCTCCACGAAAGATCAAATCATCCCTTTGATCCAGGGTATTACACAAGCCAGATTTATCCAAGGGTTTGGCTGAACTGCGTCTTTTATTGACTTCTTCAATATCTGATTCTAGATACCGAATATTATCCACCAACTTTGAGGCTTGTTTCTGCTTCTGTTCATTCAATGATGCGAGAAACTGCAATAATAACTCCGATTCAGCCTCTTCCTCGTCAATAGATGTTGAAATTTCTGCTGCCGTAAAACTTGCCATTCCATTAATTATTTCTGATTCTAAAATTTCCCTGTCCATCCAGAAATTCTAAAATCAGGTTATTTTACATACAGGAAAAATGAATAAAGATCACAAACAAAGAAAACATGAACATTCATTTAATCATCAGTAGATAGAAGTAACCAAGCAATATTAATAGAAATCCAGTTAAATTACTTTCCAATTCAGGTGCTTCTTTGACCATTGTATCAATTTCATCTGCATACCTTAAATTTTGCCCCTAAACTTTGTTTAGTTCATTCCTGACAATGGTCCCTGCCATAGACAGCTGATGTTTATTTGACAACAATGTGCCATAGACTGTCAACCAACCTTAGACCCACACAGAGTATATATATAAATATTTTTTCTCTCTTTTTTTTATTTATTATTTTTTTTCCTGACAAGAGACGGATGTATTAACCACAAACCCAGAGTCTACGATCCAATATACGCTCCTTTTTGCCTTCCAGATTTTCCCTTCTTTCCTAACCAGATATAATAAATTAGAAAAATTAGCTTAATTCTGAAACTATTGGCAACAATTAAAAAATTCAGCCCTAATTCTGAACCCATTAAAAAACTGTCACCTAATCGCATCTTGTTAAACTTGCTGCCATATCCACAATCCATTAACCTTCATTAATTTTAAACTACAGGAACGAAACTGAAATAGTGGTCGAGTTCAGGCCAATATGAACATAACTTAATGACTAAGGCATTTTTCGAAGAGGTCGAAGGTTCAATCCCCACCTCTATACGTGTGATGTTCCCTTAAAAAAAAATAATTTAAGCTACAAACTATAAGAGGGCACCAAAATGATAAAGATGCTAAAGTCCATGACTAGGGAAAACAGAAAACCTCTTATCCTCTTACTTGAAATAAACTGGAATTTTCCTCTAATCCACCAGCTTAAAACAATATACTCAATTTTCAGACCAAAATATGGATACAACTCCCACAGTCCAACCTCAAGAACCAAAGATCTGATAGCACATTGAATAAAAAGAAATGATAGACACAAAAACGTCATCTCTTCTCCAATCGTTTCCCATTAAGAAGGAATATTTGTTGCCTGAGCTTGAAAGACCATAGTACGATGTAACAAAAAGAGGCCAACTTTGCATATATTTGCAAAACAAACAAACAGGGACAATAAAAAAAAGAGCATAGCTAAGCGGTAATTGGCATATACCTCCAACCATTAGGTTGAGAGTTCGATCCCCCACCCCCACATGTTGTACTCGAAAGAGAGAGTAACAACCCAACTAAACTAGTGGATTTGGTAAGTAATATTGCATGAAGATGATTTTCATTTTTACATGCATGACATAACATATATGATTCAAGATATGCGGACATGTCAACATATACTTACCTAGATTGCATGCCAATGTCATAAGTTAGAACTGTCAAGCTTCGAATACATCTACATTTTTTAAGATCTATCAAGCCCTTTCAGTCAAAACACCTTTTACCAAATCATGAAGGATGACACTCTTAAATAAGTATTTAATTCTTAATATATAATGTTCATTCAAACACAAAGACTTGTGATCTGAGGTAGACCACAATTACCTTGTCGTCGGACGAGATGCGGGTTCAGGATGAATTAGCCAAAGACAGAACCCAACTTCCTTCAAATTCTCTGCTATAAAGTTAGGAGGAAGAATCCTCTCACGCAAATCTGACATTGCTGCAGCAAGTGCGCCATCTGATTCAAACTTCCCGAGTAACTGAAAGAAATAAAACATATGCATTTAAGAGCCATTTTCAG